GCTTGTTATTCTGAGTTCCTCTCTGTTGCTACCAAAAAAACAAAAAACAAAACAAAACAAAACATCCCAACTGATACTGCTGGTGGATTGCATAGAGTTACATGTAATATACAATGATACCTAGAGAACCATAGTATTTGGAATCAGTCATTCAACCTTACCAGCTTGAGAGGCAGTGAGACACCCTGCTGTGTTCTGGGACAGAAATGTAAAAGCTCACGATAAGTGGTTGCCAAATATCTCATCAACCTCTTACCCTCATGCAACTGGACCTCTCCTTAGAGTGAATCTCCAGATGTTTGGATAACTGTTTCTGAAATAAAAAGAACAGAGGCTGATGAGGCACCCTGGTGCCACAAATTATGAAGCTGGTTCTGGCCCAAGGTCACAGTCATTAAGTGGAGGTGATATGACTCAAACCTAGGCAATCTCACTCCATAGCCTTGGTTCTTAACCACTTCTTTACACTCCCTTGCCAAATTCAGCTAAGTCTCCTTTATATGAAAGAAACTAATGCCAAATGTCCCCCAACTATAGAGATCCAGAGTTAGCAAATAAAAACACAAGATTTCCAGTTAAATCTGAACTTCAGATAACCAACGAATGATTTGCTTTAGTATAAGTATGTCCCAAATAATGCATAGGACATGTTTATAATAAAAAAAAAAAAGTATTAGCTTATCTGAATTCAGATTTAGCTAGACATCTTGTATTTTTTCTGGCAACCTGTACACAGTCCGATATCATATCTTTTTTCATTATTGCTCTCTCAGTAACAAAAATGAATTTAAATTCAGCACATACATGCCACAAAGGGTACAGTGCAGAAAACATTTCAGAGGAACTATCAGAAGTTCAGATCTGCTGAAATCATTACTACATCAATACTCCCCAGGCAGTCTCTATTCAATGAGCAAGCCTAGGCGGCCAGCTTTCATTTCAAGTTTGATGGCTTGGTTAAGTGCGAACCATTGCTGAATGCTGTCCTACACTAAGTGACATTGAATTTCAGCCCTTCTATCATTCTGGAGGCTTTCTTGCTTTCAAAGTCTGCAAGAACTAGGAACATTAGTTTGGATATATGTATGTGTCTGGCCCACCTACCTCCCATTCTGTTCTGTTACTGGGGCTCAGAAGCATCTTCTTTCCCATGAGAAAGATTACTGAGCCAGGTTGCAGAGTTCTTTAAAAACGCACATTGCTATCTGTTTTTGTAGGCCAGAGGAGACTGCAGAAGAGAGAGATACAGTGAAAATGGGATCCCTAAACTCAGCATAGTTAGGAGGAGTCACGCTGAAAGCAACTGATTGCAGACTCCAAGCGGGTGTGGTCAGAAATCCAAAGGCAGTGCAGTATTCAAGGCTCAGGAGAAAGTCAGACAAGCAGACATCTTTGGCTCAAATTAAACATGGAGTCTTCAGGAATTAAATTGATGAGCCAGCCTTTTTTGTTTGTTTTTTACTTTTTTTGACATAAAAAACAAATTCCATTCTTTAATTGCCATCAATGTTGCAATGGCTAAAGGCTAAACCAAGGAACTAGATGAGAACAAGGTGTGGATATTCACATATACATCTTTCAAGCCCTTGAAAATTATCCCAGGATATGGTATTACTTTTGATCAACTATTTGGAAGGCATGGGGGAGACAAAATACTGCCATTTGGTTTTCCTACTCTTAAGTAGACTTTACAGAAGAGGTCAGGGAGCTAGTTAATTTGGGGATTCCAAAAGTTGCCAAGGATAGACATTCCTGTTATGTACTCAGAGAAAAAAAAATGTATCAATTATAGTCCCACAGAGACTAGTGTGAGTAAACCTGGCTGACCTACACTTAGAGTCTTTCCAGGAAAATAGTATCAACTTCAATTATTCACAACAGAGGGAATTTACTGCAGGCAGCCAGTTAAAAGAGGAATTGGGAAATCAAGAAGATGATAGTGAGAAACTGGGGCGCCTGCGTGGCTCAGTTGTTTAAGCATCCAACTCTTGATTTTGGCACTGGTCATGATCTCATGGTTCATAGGATTGAGCCCCATTTTGGCCTTGTGCTGAGAGTGCAGAGCCTGCTTAAGATTCTCTCTCTCCCCCTCTCTCTCTGCCCCTCCCCCACTCACATGTTTTCTCTCTCTCAAAATAAATAAACTTAAAGAAGATAGTGAAAAACTCATGGTACAGTAGGAAGTTGCTTCTGTGAGGGGAGGAGTCGATACTATGGGGTCCCAGGGATGAGGGTGCCTCATGGAAGCTGGAATCCTGGCAACTTTGCCTGTCAGGAGCTTGAGCCACAGAAAAGATGGAACTGGTGCCAGAAAAGTTGCCTAACATCTTATTTAATCAGGTGCTGATCTCCTTGTAACTTCTGTCCATATATTGTCTCCTCATTGGAAGAAATTTATGCAGTGACTGAGGCAGATCTGGATACTGGATGTGTATATAGCAAACCCTAACAGAATTGCAATAAAAGCTCCTAGACTTTGAGAAAGGCTTTGCTTTCTTTAGCAAAGGATATTCGTTTCAGAAATTGTGTCTAGGTAGATCGGATAGCATAGAGTTTATGAAGAACATACTTGAGTTTTAGAGTCTATGATCAGAGATCCAGTATCTACACCAAGTTGTGCCTTCCAGTGTTCTATTAAGCAAATAAATTACATGAGAAAACTGCTTGTATACCATCAGAAGCCCATCAAGCAAGCAGTGAGAAGGAGGCTAAGCTGAACTGACTCCATCAATGCCTAGTCACGTGATTGAGAGCCTCTTGTGCAGTGAAGGCTTTCTGGTGAGCATTCACATGGAACATGAAAAAGGCAGCCATAAGAGTAGAGATGGAGGCTCTGTATAGACTCCGCCACACAGTCTTTCCCTCATCAAAGCAAACCAGGCTATGCCACAGCTGAGCGCTCACTTTGTTAGCCTTAGAGATCGGCCCACATCTCTGATGTGGCATCACACTTAACAAAGGGAAGTTGGCTCCTTGCTGGATTATATGTAATTGCTTCTGCTATAGAAGGGAATTCTGTTTCCCTCTTCCACTCCCTCCTGGGCATGCCTTTGCCAGAACCACCAACTGCAGTCTTACTGAATGCTTCATACGCAATCATTATCCCACCCAAATTGGCTGTGAAGGGAGTTCCTTGATCAAAAGCAAAGAAAGAAAGGGGTTCCTGGGTAGCTCGGTCGGTTGAGCATCCGACTTCAGCCAAGGTCATGATCTTGCGGTTCACGAGTTCGAATGAGTTTGAGCCCTGCGACTGGCTCTGTGCTGACAGCTCAGATCCTGGAACCTGCTTCAGATTCTGTGTCTCCTAATCTCTCTGTCCTTCCCCAGCTCAGGCTCTGTCTCTCTATCTCTCAAAAATAAATAAGAGCATTTTTAAAATTTTTTTTTCAATGTTTATTTATTTTTGGACAGAGAGAGACAGAGCATGAACAGGGGAGGGGCAGAGAGAGAGAGGGAGACACAGAATTGGAAACAGGCTCCAGGCTCTGAGCCATCAGCCCAGAGCCCGACGCGGGGCTCGAACTCACAGACCGCGAGATCGTGACCTGGCTGAAGTCAGACGCCTAACCGACTGCGCCACCCAGGCGCCCCATAAGAGCATTTTTAAAAAATTATAAAAAACAAAACAAAACAAAGAAAGCCATGGACTAATTCAAATGTAATTCATTATTTTTTTCTATCAATGAAGCTGCAATCCTTCTAATATGGTAGAATGGTCTCTAAAAACTTAACTCTGAAATCTTCCAGGGCATCTTCTACCTGATGATATAGCTACTTCACAGAAGTTGTTTAGGCCCCAAACCAATGTTCTAAATAAGGAACTATTGGGGTGCCTGGGTGGTTCTGTTGGTTAAGCTTCTGACTCTTGGTTTCAGCCCAGGTCATGATCTCATAGTTTGTGAGTTTGAGCCCTGCATCGGGCTCTCCGCTGTCAGCACAGAGCCTGCTTTGGATCCTCTGTTCCCCTCTCTCTCTGCTCTTACCCCACTTGTGCTCACTCTGCCTCTCTCGAAATAAATAAATTAATTAAATTAAAAAAATAAATAAGGAATTATCTCCCCATAGTTAGAAGATGTGATCTAGGAACCATGGACTGAGGAGAGAGTGAGGTGTCTAATAATTATAACAAAGCTACTCTCAGTTTTTACTCACTGTGGCTTTTAGTGTCCTTCATCTTTGTACTTGAGGGCTCGATGCAGCGGTACTTCTGAATTAGAAACTAAGACTGGTCATTGGGTTCTTCATGACAGGGGAAAATGGCAGAAAAGTGGGATACTATATAGCTAGGTAACTAACCATGCCTAGTAAGAATACTAGGATTATTGCTGTGCAGTTAGGGATCCACTAAGTTCCTATCATATTCCTCCTTTCTTTTATGTTCTTGGTGGACAAAGTTAGTGGGAGACCGTTGTCCCTATGTAGGTAAGACCACTAAGAATGGAAGCCATTCAAGAATCAAGGTTCAGGCTACCCATCAGGGACATAGCTAAGGGACTAGCAGAAGGCAAGGAGATCACAGAATGGGCATAAATACCAGCTCTGGCTTCAGGAGAAGTGGCAGATAGAAAGAATATGGCCTGTTTCCTTGATTGTTGTGACATGACTTAGAAAAAAGCATCTTCTATCCATATTGTGTGTAAAGTGTGTTGTTGATGGTTAAGCATTCCTTTTGGACTATAGACTGAAGCAGAATTTGAGGGGGAATAAATATTATCCAAAGTAGAACTCCTCAAAGTGGGGAACTGCAGGCTGGTGCCAGTGTTTGAACTGTTTATTATTGGTTCATGATGCAAGAAGTATAGAAATAGAGTTTTTAAAATTACTCTGTTACATTGCTCTCAAGGTTTCTGTGCCTACTGTATATAATAATAAAAAAAATCAAGTGCTTCATTTTATGTTTAATTTCATTTATCTAGCAATTCATCTTTATTGCATTTTCCCAGTGAATTTGTCCATGACAGATTAGAAACAAAAATTTACTGTTCCTTTACTATAGATGGTTTGAGAAATGCTGATCTTGTTGAGCAGTGTCCTTGTGAAATCTATTATTACTCCTGGATGCAGCAGCTTGTGTAACTTGGACTGCTTCCCACAGAGAAGGAGGTAAGTAAGCTTGCCATTATTCAGAGAGTATTTGGGTGTTGGGACGTGAAGGCAGCTTTGGCTGTATGGAGATGTGTATGTGTGTTGGGCAGCCAAAGGTACATGTATAGAAATATACCACTGAGCTGACTGTACATCTTATATTCTGTTGCTCTCTCTCCCTACCATAGCTGGCTTTTCCAAGAGTAGAAGTATGTAACCAATTCTTGGTCTCTGCAGTTTGGAAAGTAGAACTATCATATAGTTAGGTGGAAGTTGATTGGAACTGAGTCACTGTGTAACAGAACCCAAGAACCCAAGAACTGAACCCAGGCTTCCTGCTGTCAACTTTCCCAGCATTGTCTGGGCCTTTGGTCTTTTGAAGCTTGGAGATTCGTCCTTCAGTTCTGGAGTTCCCCAATGTCCTTCTATTACATTTCCTTCTTGCTTAAGTCTTAAATCTATTGCTTGTCACTACAGAAGGTCTTGCAGTTTTAAAGGCATTTGATAAATATTGCCAAATTGCTTTCCAGAAAGTTAAGTTGTCTATCAGTGTGTACCATCGCCAATGATATGTCTCTAAGCATCTTTTCCAGGACTGAATATTAAATGTATCTGTGTGTGTGTGTGTGTGTGTATGTGTGTGTTGTGTAGATATTTGTCTCTCTATCTAATCTTTGTCATTCTGCTAGGTTAGAAATGAAACCTTATTTAACATTTTTTTCATATCTTTGAATATTATTGAAGGTAAATTTTGGGGAGATTAGGTGTCAGGACACTTTTATATGCAAGTTATAGAAACCAGATTCAGATTAACTCAGGCAAAAAAAAGAGATTTGGTTAGCACACATGAAATGGAAAGATACTGGGGTAGTCTATAGACTTGAATTAAAAAGTGTGAGAACCAAGGCCATGAGGACATGCTTATTGGCTAGCACTTCTCTCTGCTCTGGTGTACTCACCTGCTTGTTATTATATTCTCACCCTCAGCCTCTCTATGCACCCGCCACCCCCACCGTCCCAGTCCACACCCCATCCCCCCACATTGATTGATTTCTTTCTGTCAAACGGTTCTTTTCATGTGGCAGGAGTTTATTGCTGTCAGTAGTTCCACATTTTCCCAGTATGGAAGCATTAGTGGAAAAAGATCTTCTCATTTAAATTTCAGAAGTGCTTTGACCTTTCTTGGATCCCTTGCCCCTCTTTGGATGGGTCGCCAGGATTTGCCATGCCTGGATTATTAGCCTATCCTTGGTTGGAATGGTAGAGTAGGACATTGTGGCCAACACAGGTTAGCAGCGCCGCTCCCTTCTAGAACAAAATGAAGTGGTGAAGAAGCGTTCCTCTGAAGGCAGGGTATAGCTGGGCAGACAGAAATATTCCCTACACATTTAGCAGAAGTTCTTGATTTTGAGGAGATTGATTACATGTTGATATGTAATGTTTAATAAAGACTAAGACAGCAATGGTATATAATTTATCATCCAACGTGGGGTACTATGAAAGAAGCTACTACTAATCATTAACAGAATGCACAGTTAATCCTATTTGGAGAGCTGAGCAAGTGGAAGCAGAGAGGGCACTTGGAATTACTACACTAACTTCTTTCCTAAACTACACATGGTTTTACAATCACTGTTGACCACTTGCTAAGAGAAAACAACTTCCTGCAATCAGGGCCAAAACTGAAATGGTCAAGATTCAAAAAGGCTAAAGCTACACTGGAGGGAACCATTTGCTCCTTGATAGCTCATTCTCTGGGGAATAACCTAGGGGTCGTGAATCACTGATGTCACTTGTGAAGTTTCATAGTAGGGTAGTGGTTAATGGAAGGCCTCAAAGTCATGACCCTGACATAGTTTAAAGTCCTGGCTTTGCCATTCACTAACTGATGTTGAACAAGTTATTTAACCTCTCTAAACCTCAGTGTCTTCATCTTAAGATGGAAATTACAATACCTCATATGATTGTGTTTAGATTTACAATGTGTATAACATTACTATATGCTTACTAGCACTGTGATGTTAGCTGCTAATATTACCAAAAGAAGTAACAAATGCAGAAGAGAGAAAACTATAGTTTATTTTGTCTTAGCAGATAGGACCTCCTAGTAAACTTTGGTCATAAGGGTTTTTTTTATCCATCTTTATTTATTTACATAATCTTCTCTTCTGACTTGCCAGTTCTCCTCACCCAAGATCCCCACAAATGTAGACAACATCCTATTTTATGGTAAGAGAGGAGTAGCTGAATGTCCCCATGTGGTTTAAGAATGTCTTTGGGTTTGTCACTTGTGTCACGGGGGTTTTTCAAAAATGATTTCAGTATTGGTAAGGAGAATCTGGTTCGCAGGATTTTTATTTTTTTAAGTTTTTAAAAATATTTTATTTTATATTTGTGTGTGAGAGAGAGACAGAGAGAGAGAGCACAAGCAGGGGAGGGGCAGAGAGATGGAGACAGAATATGAAGCAGGTTCCAGGCTTGCTGTCAGCACAGAGCCTGATGCCAGGCTCAAACTCATGAGCAGTGAGCTCATGACCTGAACTGATGTTGTATACTTAACCAACTGAGCTACCCATGTACCTCACAGGACTTTTAAAGTCAGTATGCAGTGAGAAGGAATAGCAGTAGATATCGTCCCAGATACAGATCATGAGGTAAATGTGTTGGGAATTAGGGTCACAAGTAGCAGTAACAACAGGGTCAAGGAATGCTGTTCAGTTTGTAGGCATGGGGAAAGAAAGAAGCAGAGCTGGGCTGGGTCAGGAGAAGGGTTAAGGTCTAGAGAAAGATAAGAGGGGACAGAATTGAGACAGGAAGGAACTACCAGAAGATAGATTGATAGAGGGGAGAGCAGATGAGAGAATGCATATTTCTCAAAGAAGGTAGTGGCTTCTCATCCTTACTCTATGAAGATCAGCTAATGCAAGGAGAAGCAGTCTACATTGCACAGTAAATTGTGCTGGGCCTGGATCTCACTGCCTTAGATGAGATCATGAACAAAGATGCCTCCTATCAGCACTGGTTAGTGTCTGTCTGTCTCCTGCCCCTTCCCCTCCCTCTCACACTTTCCCTTTCTCCCTCCTGGAACGTTTCATTGTTTTTATTGAGCCTAGAAGACCCCCAGGAGAACCTCTAGCTATAGAAACAAGTAGAACTGAGCAGAGGCTGCCTTGCCAGGTGCATCTGGGCAGCTTGATCTGTGAGTGGCCCATTATACCCCTGTGTATGAATGAGCCACTCATTTACTCTGCTCTTTAAAGGTCTACAGACCAACTTAAAACTTTTATATTGTCTCTTCTCTAGTCTTAACTTTATAAATTCAACATTAAGTTTATGATGTTGAAGTATACATCATTGCATTATGACTTGTCAAATTCATTCATGCTACCAATATGCAAATCCTAGTTATATACTATGACATTACTTTACTACTTGATAGCCGTATTTTCAAAGGCCTTTTGAAAACAAGTGTTTACTCTTTTTTTTTTTTCTTTGAAAGAAATAAGGACAAATAGGGACCCTGGAGAGTAAAAGCTAGCGAAACCCTTTTCTAGGTGTATAATAGAAAACCCCCATATGTGCAAGCTACTACTTCAGCTGAGCATCAGTATTTTCCATTTAATGTTGACACTAAAAAGAAAGGACTTTTAAGGTTAATGTGGTTCTGCTGTTAGAAACTTCTTCCTGCAGAAAACTTAAAGCACACTAAACTTCCTACAAACGTCTAATAGCTCATCACTGATGCTTGCTTTAGCTTCAAGATTAAAAGTGGTTTTGCCACCATTAGCAAGCAAATGAATCTCTCTAACTCGACCCTGTTAAAATAGGACACCACTTCTGTCAATATTTTGTTGTAGTAGGAAGAGAGACAATTTTTTTTTCATTGATTTATTTATGTAGACAAAAATGGCACCTACTTCCTGTGTTAGTAGCTCTTCATCAGGGGAAAGAAGATATTTTTATTTTGTGTCACCTTGGGACATTTGGAAACACGTGAAGGCCCAAGTCACAGCAGTTTAAATATATTACTTAATTAGCAGGAAGTCTAAAGGTACAGGATCCAGAACAGGCTGGACTCAACCGTGTCATTACAAACTCTATTTTTTTTTTCTGTCTTTCTGTCATCTCTGTGATCCTTGTTATGTTGACTTTTTAATCTCATTTGTTTCTTCATGTCTGGGAGGTGGCTTCTGCAGATGCAGCATGATATCAGTGCTCAGAAAGTAGAAGGAAGGGGTTGCCCTGAAATTCTGTTCTTGTAACTATCCCTTTTACACAGACACAAAAGTTGCCACAGAAGTCCTCCCAATAGACTCCTGCTTATGGTCCATTGTCCAAAACAGTGTGGAAACAAATTTTTTTTTCTGCAGTTGGATTTCAGTAGTTCCTTTTAGAGACAGAGAAGTACAAGGGGCTTGGCCACACTTTCCTATTTCCATTAGGGTCAGAGTTAGAAGGAGGGAAAGGCAGATGTACAGGCATTATAATTGGGTTTCCAGACTCAAGAGGTATGGAAACATGGTTAGTTGCTGGGCTCTCCATTTCCAGGAAAGTTGGGAAGTTCTGATTGGGTTCCAGCTCTTTGCAGTGGTCACTACCCCAGCTTCTCCTTCCCCAAATGTGGAGGACTCCCCCTCCTGCACTGAGCCAGTATGGCCATCTCATTTACCCTTTCTGGACCTTCTGTGTTCTGTTAGCTAGAGGTGGTCACGTCTTGCCCAGGGCTGGCCAGAGAAAGAGTTCTGCTAGCAAAGAAAAAGGGAAATGGTGCCAGTGTCTGTCACGGTGTCCCTTTCACATTTTCTCTATTTCACACTATTTAGTTTGCTTTTAAATGGTTTCCTGCCACATTTACTTCATTGATGCTTACAGGCTGGCTCCTTTTATTTATCTGCTACAATTCCACTGGTGGGATCTTTCTGAAAGACAAATCTGACTTCATCATTAGGTTTCTATTTCCTTACTGTGGCTTACAAGAGTGGTTATGATCTGGCCTTTGCACACACCTTTCCAGCATT